CCAGTCTATCACATTGAGTGCTGGCCTGGAGCGATTGCCCAAAGTTGGCAAGAAGACGACATCTACTCCAACACATTCGTTGAAGCTGAGCTCCTTGGGCGGAGCACTCCGTCGTGCAGGTCGGACTTGGGCATGTCGCTGACAGACACTACATTTCAACTGTTTTGCTGCCTCAATGACCTCTGGTTTCGCTTTGGCATATCTAAGTATGCGGACAAATCGATCTGGGCTTGGATGTCCCATTCCGACATGGGCTCGATGTAGAAGTCGGTCCATGGTAAAGCGACGTTCAAGCGGTAGTGGTGCATTTTGTCGTTCATCGCTCTCCGGTTCATGGTCTCCTTCATCATCGTCACCTCGTGGTTCTTCAGCATGTAGTTCCCATGTTGGACCATGTAGAACGCTTTCGACTTGGTCTAATCGTCCTGGATCGACTTCGCTTAGGTGAAGTTCGTGTCCGGGAACTCGTTGAGCACATAGCGTAGTTCCCTGATCTCCATCTGGTAAATGTCCTGGATGTAGTTCATGGTCAACCATTAGTTCTACTGCCAGTAGTGAGTTCAGGCGATCATTCTTCAGGAACATTTGTTCAGAGGTGATGATGCCTACCTCAGCTCCGATCGAGCGTGAGTAGGCCGCGAGGATGGCTTCTCGAAGACCTTCCGGGTAGATCTGTGCTTTCTTGGACTTGTTGCCGCCAATGATGACTTCATGTTGATGGTCGCCAGGGCATAGAACGTTCAGGGCCGTGGCGATCTCCGGGCTATTGGTGGCAAAACCAGTCCGTTTTCTTTGTGGTTGGCCAGATTCTCCACGGAGTCCGTATTGGCATTGGTCTGCCTTCGTGTACACTACGTTCGGTTTGGAAAGGAGCTGCTCCATGGCACGATGTTTCCATGAGGAGGCAGCGTGAGGATGTTCCAAAAGGAACTTGATGCCCAAATTATCGCACAATTCGCACAACTGCAGTGCAACAACAGAAGTTGTTCTCCTTCCGACTTTCTCTTTAAATACTTTTGAAGAAGAGCAGGAACTCGTTCTCGTTTGTTTTTAGACAGGTTTTGCAACTGTGAGTACATTTCACATGGTGGTGCGATGCAGACCAGTCCAGGCCTAACATCTTTCACATACTGCAAGACTTCGTTTCGTTTGTTTGCCTTCAACAAATCACAATCCAACTTCAAGTCAAAAGCGCGTCCAGGATTGAGGTTGAAGCGGTGTGCAATTTCTCCAAAACAACCTGGGTTATAGATCTCAGCCACAGTAGTTCTAAGTTGTTTATGAGAAAGTCCCATGATTTCAGCAATCTGATGTGTCCTTTTCGATCCATTAGGGTGCAGAGTAAACTCCTTGCAAAGTTCATGATTAAAGCTGCAAATCCAGTCTCGCAGTGTCGCGTCTCCATCCTGCGTTTCTGCGAGGATGTACTGGATCTGTTTCCAAAAAGCCACAGCCTTCTTTAAGGCCGCCCTGAGCTTTCTTTCAAGCTTTGGGGTCACTGGCTTGAAGGGCCCCTCATCCGGCGCCAGCGCAGGAAGTCCATGAAGTCCTGGTATAGTCCTCCGGTTCGGTCATCCCTTCCTGAGGTGATGTTGGCGTTGGAGTCGAAGGGCGAGGTGGTGCCTCTGAAGGGCTGTTGAGAGAAGCCGTCTCCGTGACAACAGCCTTCTTTTCTTGCCGGATCACCTTGTTGCAGTAGCGGCAGGTCACCTTGGTCAGGAAGGCATTGGAGCCCTTCCGATGGGTTGATGAGTGTGGGCAAATTTCCTGAACCATTCCCTCCAGCACCTCTGCATAGGACTTGGGCTTCTCGCCCGGTTGTTGACGGTACTTCCAGCTGGTCACATCTTTCAATGGCTGGCATGGTGTCCATTGTTTGAACTCGCACTGTTGTCCGGGTACTTCGGGCATCGAAAGTAGATCTCCTCCTCGTGGTTGGTCTCTGTACTCAGATGAATCTTCACCTGTAGACCGCATCGGCAGCGAGGTCGGGGTCCTGTCAGCATGTCGATGCCTGGCAGGCTGTCGATCTGGTCGCAGCGCTGGGTTCTCACCAAGGTCGCATTCTGAACCTTCTTCTGGGACCCGTCCGAGCGTTGTTCCGAATCGCTGATCACAATGAAGCTGTCCGACAACTCGCCACGACGTTTCATCTCGTTCTTGGCCATCTTGGTCACGTGGTGGAGGTCCTCGTCGGACATGTTCTCGATCAGGCGCGCCAGAACTCGGCGTTGGGACTGTGCTCCCATGATGGTTTCCAAGAGATGTTCGAACAGGTACTGCAGTGGCATGAGTACGACCAGTAGCCGACGAGTCAATTGGGTCCAGGCTTTCACCGCCTTGTCTTCCGGATTCGAAGTCTCCGGTGGAGTAGGTCGGCTGCGCTTCTGGCCGGTGTTCTGCATGGCAAGCGGGAGAAACCGATGAGGTCGACGCCGGGATGTCTTGAGTTTTGTCGGGCTCCGGCGGTTTCATGCACGGTTCATTCAATTTCAGGACCTCGAATTCCGGGAGCGAAGTTCCTAATTGCTCGGATTGGGCTCTTTGTAGTGTAGTCAGTTGGAGTTCCGTGAACTGTTGAAGTGGAATTCGAAGTGCTCCGGTTGGTCCAAGATGTAAGGGGACTGGTTCGTGGTTTCCGCGAAGTCGGAGCTGGAGACCTTTCTCAAGACACAATCCTATGTCACCATGACAATGAAGGAGGAAGCTGAGGGACAAGAGGAACGGTGCGTTGGTGCTCTCGTCGCTGTCGAAGACCGCTGGTTTCAGGAGACTGCCTTTCAGTCCCAGTGAACTGGGGACACTGGCTACCTGAGTGGTAATCGAGGTTTTGTGGACGCTCCTGAACTTGTTGGTCTCGGGGTGAATGGTGATCTTCAGGCCAGGTGGTAGATGTTCACTGAACTTCCTCAAGGTCGTGGCTCCAATTGCCAGTCTCTGGCATCCGGTGTCGACCGTGGCGCACGTAGCGTCATCTGGGGTTAGTTGGGAGTACTGGGATACCAGATCGCAAAACATGTTCTCATAGAAAAACAAGTTGCTAATACCCACATAACCAACCTCACCTATTCCCACGCCCAAAACCGTGTCACTCTCCGTATATGACCGAGCGGTCAAGCAGTGATTCGAAGCGGAAGCTACGTCTGTACAGTCCGCGTGGCCTTCGATTGAAGTCCTCAGAATGAGCGGTTCAGGTGTTCTTGTCCCTGTCATCTCAAAAGACGAGGAGCTGGTTGGTCCATGGCTGGAGAGGTTCTTGTCGATGAACTCTTCCATCTCCAGGCTGCCCGCAAAATGCACCTCGGGTGTGTTTTCCAAAAGGTGTGTCTCGTTCGTTCGAGATGTGCCCATCGATGAGGAGCTGCCTGGTTTCAGGGGGGGATTCTTGCAATCTCGTTTCCAGTGGCCGATCTGACCACATTCTCGGCACCAGGTCCTCTTCTGCAGCTCGGCAATCGTCACGGAGTAGGATCCTGGTCGTAGCGGTCGATCTCGATCTCCCCGAGCCGAACTGAAGTTTGGTCGTCGGCTAACTCCATAGCCTCGGGCGAGTTCCTTGGTTTTCTTGTCCTTGATCGACTGAGTGTAGGTCTTCTTCTGCTGGAGGTAGGTGGAGAGGATCTCAGCCGCCTCCGATTCACTCAGGGCGGTATCTTCTGATAGCCCTTCGTCCTGGAGCTCCATGATGTAGTGCTCGACGTTTTCAATCTCCTCCTGGTCGGTGCCATTACCCTCAATGACCTCCTCGGTGGCATAGACTCCGTCATACTCAGTATGGAAGGCGCCGGCTGCTTTCTTCCGGTCGGCCCCAAGCTCTGAGGCGGACAACTTGGTTTCGTTCTTTCTCAACCAGCTCTTGATGGAACTGGGCTTGATGCAGCCATGGGTGTAATTCAGCAAGGCCTTGGTGTCGCTCTCGGTCAGCTGCAACCCATTGATCATCAAGAAGCCTTCATACTCAGGCGGGAGCACAATCTTGTGTTGTTGGACTTTTCGAATGGCGTTGTCCCACTTGGCGAAGTATTCCCTCCAGGATTCTGTTTTCTGCCTCCGGAGGTGGTAGGTGATGCGGGACATGGCAGTCAACATGTGCTCCTGCTGGTCATCTCCGAAGCGTTCAGGCTTATCCATATCTTCAAGAAGACGTTCAGCACCTCGTGGATCTCCGAGCCAAACAGGATCTTTTGCCCAGTGCTTGTAGAGCTCGAAGGGTGCTCCTGTCAACATCTTCAACAAAAGGGGTCCTCGCGACTTGGCCTTGTCCTTGGTCGTCGCGATCCATAGTTGGGCCTTGATGTGATAGTCCTCGAATGGGGTCTGTCCATCCCAGGATGGTGGAGGTCCGGAAGCCCCTCTTCCTTCTCCACTCTCATCATCTTCTTCATCTTCTCGCTCACGGCGGCGCCTATGACGTGTCGGACCACGGCCTTCCTCTCTCTCCATCTGGAGAAAGCGTTGGAACCGAGCGAAGGCTTCCCGGTCACTCCCCAAAACGTCCTGCGCGCCCTGAGCCCCCGTAGAGCCAGCAGCTGGCGAGCCGCCGCCTGGCGGGTCATCCAAGTCGCCATCCGAAGGTGGAATGGCCTGTCTATCGGCCATTCAAAAACCTAGACGGGATGGGGGCTGGTGACCACCAAGAAAAAGAGTCGAACCCAAACCAGCCCGGTCGGAACCGGGCTCCGCTACCACTATGAAAATAGGGGAACCGCAACAGACCCAACAAGCAAGAACAAGACTCTTTTTCCGGTGGACACAAAGCCCCCATCGAGTCTCTGGCTCCTAAGTGCTTGCCTTGAGTCGAGCGTGGGCGTCCAGTGCATTTTCACAGATTCAGTCAACCTTACAGCCGCCAAAGGTCACGTGACTAAATGCGTAGGTGGTTTGTACATAATGTGTTTTTCAATATTCTATCAAATCTTGAACACATCATCGCCACGAATGGCCAAAGGTGTGCAGCATTTGGCAAAGGATTCATTCGACCCTTCCATCCGCTTTCTCCCTTTCAGGATTTTGAGAAAGATCCCGTCAAAGTGATGCGGGGTATTTTCGAATTCTTGGCGTTGGACTCCAGCGCCTCGGTAGCGACGATGTGTTTGAGATGTTTTGCGCTTCAAACTTTATATGTTTTTGTCTTGGGACTTGTCAATTTGCAGGTATTCCTCTGCCTGATTTGAAGAAGGTTTTGCCAGAAGAAGTTTTGGACTATGTGGTCATGAATCCAAAGCAGAGCCATCAGCTCTCCAAAGAGGATCGAGGAATGCTAGAAGACTACTACAAGGCAAGAGAGCTGAAGCCTAAAAGCGTAAGGTTCAGATTCAATTTCTTTCGACGGTGCAAGATTCTCCATTTGCAATACCAAGGGAAAAGGGTGCTATTGGCGTGCACTGCCTGCAAAGGATTGCCAAGTTCTAGAAGGGATTTGCGCACACCCTGCTGCTTGACTTGAAGACTGATATTTTGTAATGACAATTGCTTCAAAAGTGCCTATGACGTTGCCGAAAAAACAATGCTGTGCCACATCGCGCCACATCACGTCGCCTGTTTGCTTTCGGAATTGATTTGGCATCTAATGGCAGTCTCATGTCTTATTCAGAATTTTCGATGGCGGCAGCAACACGATGAACACATTTTGTGGACAATGCTTGCATTACTGCTTTACTGATTGTTCACGTTGGTGGGAGACTAGGTCGGAAACCACCTGCTTTCCTTCACCTCACTATACATTGCCACGTCACCAGACACAACACAACAGACCAGGACGCCCCTGAGAAAGTAGTAGTCCAACAGACACCGCACGTCACATTGCCACACCATACGTTAACGACAGTGTGGGTTTGATAAATTTGAGAAAGATGAAGAATGCAAACAGCAAAAGGAGCCCATGAGATGCTGTGATTTAGGACAGGACAGGAGCTGTGGAAGTTGTTCTGTAGGTCCCTGAGCTTGGTGCAGGTTGCAGCCAAAAGTGGGCAAAGTAGCCAAGGGAGGCCAAAAGGATCCAAAGCAAAGGAAACATGTGCATAGCTTTTGGATCCGCGTGGCTGCATACCAATGGGAGGGACCAGGTCTTTTTTCTTTCTGCCACATCCATCCGAGAAAATCGTTACGAATCGTCGTCGCATCGAGGGGATGCTTCAACGAGACCTGTCCTTTGGGACTTTCAAGCAGCGCCTGCACTTTGACGTCCGTCTCAATCACGTACGTTGAGGGACAGGCGCAGAATGTCGCATGATATTTGAATGCATTGGGCTTGAAAAAAGCGCGCCAACCCCAGGTTTTGTGAAACTGCGTCAGAAGCGAGCTCATGCAACCCGCACCAGGGCAATTTTTTTGATTCATTGCGCTATATGATGCCTTTTTATGTTCATAACTGTCATAACTTAACGCATAACATAACATTTTATGGGCTGCTCGTCCTGTTTGGCCACGGTCACCTCACCTGATTTTGCCTTACCTCAGAGAGGACTCAACACAGAACGATTCGGTGGTGAAGAACGCAAAGAACAGGGCTGCGTGTGCTTGGTGTGCTCCACTTTCATTTACGAGGTTGTAGGAACAGCCACTTAAGTTTTTGCCAGGCGCATCATACCTGATTCACCCCCACGTCCGAAGAAAGGGGCGTCCCGAAAGTCCTCAGAGGCACAAGGTCACAAGGACATTTACATGTCGGGTTCAAGCGGTGTGTGTCGGAATCTGGTGAGTCTTTCCATAAAGTCCTCAGCATTCTGCTCTGAATAGGTTTGCAGCGTTCGTTGGCTAAAGAGATCAATTTTTGTGCATGCGGCACCGCGCAGAGGAGTGACACAAAACAGCTTCCATAACAGGCAATCCGCCACTTGGGCTTGCGGTTACAGTATGAATAAACTCTGTGATGAAAAAAGTGCGGTTTCTTTAGAGGAAGTTTTCTTTGGAGCTGCTTGTGCTTTGCTATGCTTTGCTCATCATCATTTGACAGCACCCAAAGTTCTTATGCCGACTTGTGTCAAGCAAGAGATGAGTGCCACCACAGCCACGCTGAAATTTGATTGCGTCAAGAGCTGGCAAGAAGAGAAGTTCCACTGCAATGAACGCTCACTCCAGCCCCGGCCCCCAAGTGAACAGACAAATGGGAAGATGGTAAGAATGTTCATGTATGTTCTTTGGCTGTGAATAACGCTTGGCCATGTTTGTGTCCCGCGCGGGTCCTCTAAGCGCGGCCAAAGCTCATCAGAGTTGTCAATTCAGATGCAAGAGAAAGGCTACCTGGCTACCTCTCAGCGTGCAATACAACAGTTGGTGTAACGCCAAATCAGAAGACACACACACACACCTGGAATGCTTTGAGTGGATTTGCAAATTACGTCAAATTACATGTTGGAAGTTTGGGAGGAGCGAAATCAAGATTTTGCAGAGATCATGGGCAAGGACGTGGACACTTTGTGGTGACCTTTGTGGCTGATGACCCCAGGCGAAGCCTCATTTCTCTGCACGTGTCCGATCTAGGGCAGCAAAACAAAGGGTCCTCACATAAAGAGTTGCATGTTTGGGAGACACCTGGCAGTCTTTAGGCGTTCAAAGAGTGAATTTGCATCAATGGAAATGCTCGATCCCAAAACTTGGCTCAAGGTCAAGATGGTCAAGGTCACTTGTGAACAGGTCGAAGAACTTGTTTCTTTCCACTCTTCCGGGCAATGGCGAGCACGTGCAGCGCGTGCAGCCAATACCCACGCGTGCTGAATGGTGTTCTGGATGAGTCGGATGTGCGACATTTCAGGTTTCTCTTTAAGGCGCGAGGCGCCGCTGAGGCGCCGCCGAGGCGCCGCGAAAGGTTTGTTACGTGAAACTTCGGGATACGAGTGACTGACGTGTTTGTTTTGTGGAAAGAAGCCAGGAGCTTGCGGAAGACGAGTGGCAGAAACGTGAGAAGGCTGCCAAAGCAGAAGGGAGAGCCCCTCCACGGAGAGTCTTGGAGCCACCTTCTACAAATTTAGAGAGGCCAATATTTCGGTTTTGTATGGTTTCATTTGTTTTCTTGTTTATGTTGTTTATGGGCGGTTCTTTTTGATTCAAGCGGTACTCTTGGAACTTGCAAATTTCTCTTCCAGCGTGCCCTTGTTTCTAAGGTATTTTACAATTCTCAAGAGACTACAGATGGAACCCCGGGACGACAAACTTTGGTCGATAATACAGAAGCTTTACGACACAGTTGAAAAGAACTTTGGCAAGGGCTTCGTCATGCAGCAGGATTTCTGGTCATGGCGTAGTCAAGGGCAAGTGGCCGCGGAGCGCATCCACATGGATGGAGACTTTTGGATGACGCGTGGCAATGATGGCTTCAATTTGCGCCCTGTTTGCAAAAGAAGAGAAACGTCCGATCACTCCCTTCCCCCAAGCCTGGGCAGTCTGGGTATGGTAGCAGTTTGGGCGTGGAGTGATTCCCTTATGCAGTGTAACCCTTGCAACGGTCCCTGTTACGGACTATATAGTAACAGTAGTGTAAGCCACAGATGCGCCCTAACAAATGCACAGTACAAGCAGTTCCCGGGCAAGCCGGCGGCGGAAGTTTCCTATAAGAACAATTTGACCTATAGCTCTGCATCCGGAGTGTCCCTTCGCACACGCCCTGCGGTCTGCGACCAAACAGTCATCCGAGTCATCCAATCATCGCTCCCGCACCCCTGTCACATGCAGCCTGGCCGCCCAGAAAGATGCATTTCTGGGCATGGTGATGACGGTGGGGACGATGGTGATGATGATGCTAGTGATTGTGATGACTACACCGATGATGATGATGATGATGATGATGATGATCATGATGGTGAGCAAGCTGATGCTGGTGATTGCCATGACGATGACGATGATGATTGTAATGATGAGGATGATAACGATGGTGATGAACATAATGCTGGTGACGATAATGATCATGATGATGACAATGCTGGTGCCCATGGTGCTGATGATGATGGTGATGATGATGACGGCTCTAATGATGCTAAAACACAACATTGCAGTCAACACATGCAGTCACATTTACAGTGCGGAAACCATCCAGGAGTTGCAAAACGCGATGGAATTCCATCAACAGAACGTACACCAGAAACAGGTGAAAACTCTAGTTACAATGGAGGGGCTAGAGCTATCTGAGCTATCTGGAGTTAGAGCTAACTAAAGCTAGAGCCAACTGGAGCTAAAGCTGACTAGAGCTAGAGCTGACGAAAGTCCGTAACACGGAAGTTTTGCGCCCTAAACTTCCTTTGATCAGTATGAGTATGTAACAGCGCTGAGTCACAGATGCACAGTGCAAAGTAGAGGACGTCTCACGCGAAGTGCTCACGGTGAAGCTTTGAGACATTAAATTTTTGGAGTCCGTCTGCTTATGGAAGCTTTCAGATGTCCAAGTTTCGGAACGTAAACGAAATGCATTTTTGACCGTGCGCTAAGACCCGTGTTTGTGCAAAGTGTATCTTCAAAGCTCGGCGATTAAACTTTGCGGAACAGTCTCGCATCCTGCTCGGATCATGCTCGGTGCATTGTCGGTTCGGCAGGGTACGGTGTAGGACGTTTTAAGTGTTCTCGGAAGCTTTTTGAAAGATGTCTTGCGTGAAATGCTCTTTTTGAGTCTTTGACGTGCCAAACTTTGAGGAAGTTTCCCGCGCAAAGTGCTCACGCTGAAGCTTTAACATGTCAAAATTCGCTGACGTCTCGCACGCAATGCTCTTGTTAAAGCCTTGAGATGTAGTGTAATTGAAAAATGTATAAAGGCGCGAACAATTCAGAAAAGGCAACTTTGTAACAAAAGCTAGCAACTTTGTAGTGCGCTGTGTAGTGTGAACTGGCAAGTGCACATGTAATGCTCCATAGCCATAGTTTCTGGGGGCGGGCTCGGAACTTTGTAGCGCAAATGCAGTGTCTAGAGTCGCTTCTGGATCTGCGGGCTCAGAGCTAGCACTATTGTGGTTATGTCGCTGCGCCGTGCGGTTTGGCGAGGCCTCAGTTCACGGAAAGTACGTTTGCGTGGCTTCGTGCCAGTGGGGGACGGCAAACTCTAGTTGAGGTTTGCCGCTGTATATGATTACACCGACGGTGAGTCTCTTCGTCTAAAGGTGTATACTCATTTTGTACCTTGACTCTTGGCTCAAGCTGAAGCAAAACAGGTGCGCGCCGCAGTTCACTGCTTGCGCAGTCTTTGGCAGCCTGTGGTCCACGCAATCAACAGGTTAACACCTATTTTCAACCACGTCCATGTGTGAGGTTTCTATGTGGTTTCCATACATGAGGTTTCGAGCGTGTCCAATCGCAGGAGGTCACACCAGCTTGATGCATTTCAAGGAAATACAAAAATCACGATGCCCAAAGACTACTTGGCAAAAAGTTTCATAACTTGGAACGTGTTTGCCAATCAGCTGAGAGATACATTATATAGATAGAAAAGTTGTTGGGGAAACCTCCTGTCCATTTCTGTATCATGTTGCTTGTATTTTGCGAGGGGTTCTGGCAACGCACAAGCAGAACCGGACAAAAGGTAAACACCACCAGCGCAGAAACACAAGAGTAATAGAAGGACAAAATCTAAGGTTGGTGTGGAGTTGATGCCAGGCGTCTTCGATAAGTGTGATGGCTACATTGCAAAGGGCTGGCCAGAGCTGGGAGCCAATCCCAGCTCCCCGAATTTGTTTGTAAGTGTGGTTGCAAGCCCGGAAAATGCACGCGTCGAGAGCAAAACACACGATGGTAGCGATGTCCTCAATGCGGCGTCCGATATGGGGAATGTTGGAGGGGGTTGCTAGTGGCTTTGAGGTCAAGGGTGATGGCGGCGGCGCGGCGTTGTTCTTGCCCGGCAGTGACGAGGCTGTGGACCGCGTCGATGAGACGGTGTTGCGGCACTGAGTCGAGAGAAACCCACCAAGTCGTCGTTGGTGGTGTGAAGGGTGACGTCGGGAGGATGGAGGTGAAGTACTGGTGACAATGGCGCCAGAGTTGCGGGGTGGACAGCTGGCCTGGACGCGGCTGGTTCCTGCGGGGGAGTGGCAGTAAGAGATGATGGCGCGGCCCTTGCGCCCCTGCTTTTGTTTGAGGTGGACAACGCCGTAGGGGGCGCGAAGGCCTTGTGCAAGCCCCACTTGTAACGTGTGCACAGGGTGGCGGGCACGGTGGCAAGCGTCGTGGACGTTGTCGAGCGTGAGATGAGGCGTGGACTGGAAATTTTAAAATTTCAGGGGATTGCCATGCGGCGAGCGCTCCGTGGAAATATTGTTGAGATATGAGTTGTTGGAGCTCGTGGTCTGCGTGGTGTAAATACAACGTGTTCTCCAAAGTGTTCTTGGAGTTGGCGAAGTAGTCTAATCTGGGTTGGTGGTGGAGGTGCTGAAGGCGGTGTCGCCATTGTTGGTTCAGGTGTCTGCAAGTTGGATGATGGACGGGGGGAGGCCGTGAGCGCGGGGCCATCTTTGGAAAGCTTTGTGGAAGGTGGTGCAATATTGGTGTTTGGTGGGGAAGAACGCGCTGTTCATGTTGGCATCAAGAAAGATGCGAAGGTGTGTGGAGACCTGTGCATCTGAAAGTGTGGGGGTGTAATGGCCATCCGTGGTGGGATGCTGTGGGTCTGCGAGGAGAGCGCGGAGGTGGCCACAGGCGCATTGAATGGTAAACAGCTGGGGAAACAGTAGATGGAAATGTAAACGGCGTGAGTTGAATGTATAGCGGTTGCTTCCCTCACCGGGTAGCGGCAAGTGTGCATTCTCTTGGGATTTGTTTGGCTTCAGCGTGACACAGTTCATCAAGTCAATTTGAAACCCGCAACTTCTCCATCTACAGCACACCTGCGCATCGAGGCCACCTTGGTTTCTTAAGGTTCTTACTGACGGAGTTACGTTTCACTGTAAATAACGGCGACGCAATAGAGAGAGAAAAACTGCTCGACCATCACGCGCACCAAGTCCTACGAGTCACTTTGAACGAACCTGTTCTATCTATTTGGGGGCGCCTATATGCAGTTGGGCCTCCCGCACGTGGGCAACTTCCGGGCCCAGGCCTACTTCGTCTTTTTCTCGACGCTTTCATTTCATGCTCTTTAGAATGATTCGAAGCAGTCCACTGCGGCAGCGAAGAGCTCGCCAAACCCGATCGGCAGGGGGCAGCAGGTTCCGGTTCATCAGTCGAGGCCACAGTTGCTACGGGCGCTACATCGACACAGGCGTGGATCAAGTTCATGACCACGCAAACGCAATCACAAACACGCTAGGATGCGCGCTAGGCCACTATAGCCCACAAAGAGAAGAGCCAAGAGTTGCAACAAACGATGTCCGGACCTGCAACGCTTCGGTCAGCACTAGCGCCCCAGCAACCATGAGCATGAAACCACACAAATTGCCAACGCTGTCCGTCGGTTCGTCGGCATTCTACACACGCGTGTTCGCTAGCGTTCGCTCATCATGTTTTCGAGCCGGTCGCATGCATTCGTCGACCGCAACCTAACTACTAGGTCTGAATGGTGGATTGGAGAGGACAAGGCTTGCAGGCTGCCGCGCAAGACGCAAAAGGTCTCCGCGACAACAAGACGCGGGATGACGGTTCACTGACTATACACTTCACCACTTGAAACACCTGAGCGCTCGCAATCTCAGTCTGCGTCGCTTCGTTGGGTAGGTTGCGCCCAAACTTGCGTTGTTTATGGCTCCCGCTCGGATGCTGATCAAGTGCTCCCATCGAGGAGGAGACATGGGCGCCATTCGAGCTATGGCTAAACAGCTGGAAGTTCTTGGAAGACACAAGGCCCGGCTGGAACCAACCTGGTTGTTCGGTCGCTCATGCCCCACATGGACACTCTTTAGTCGGCAGACACGTTGTATCCAAGCAATTGGTTCTTCCAGCGTTCTGGCGACGCTTAACTTGAACATCTATGTTGACGGCGGAATCTCTAGCGCAAACCTCAAGTCTGTTCCATCCCCGGCATTGCCAGAGGCGCGAAAGACGAAGACACCGAAGGCACACTCTAGACAGACGCTGCAAAGGTTTTGATGAGATTGGTGCGGCTCAGTCGTCTGCCCCGCCCAGACTTGTCTTTCATGAGGTCGCGCAGGTTGATCTCTTACCTTTCAAACGCTGCGACAGTTCGATGTTAACTCCGACTCCACACGCTGTGACAGCGATTGCGGGCCCTGCCGTTCGACAGCAAATCCACGTCAGGAATTCATCATATAGGCATGAAGGTAGCTCATTCTTTCCGATCTTGCGGTAAAGTAAGGAGGCAAAGTCAATGGCGTTCTCTGCCAGGCATCTTTTTGTACCCAGCAAGGGTATGAGCAGCTTTTCGAGACGCAAATCCCTGTGAGGCTGGGACATTGCAATTAGGCCGTCATTTGCATCAGTCAATAGAGTTGCGCGATTGCAACAGGGTGCATTGAATAAACGTCTTGGATCAATGACTCAGTGATTTTTCACAAAGGCCAGAGTCTCGAGTTCACACACTGCAACGCCGATGTGCAGTTTGCAAGCGCCTGGGCGAAGATAACTTCTCCAATCCACTGAAGAAGCGCTTGAGCAACTTTGCGTTCGCATGCTGTAGATGAATGTTCACTGGCCGAAGGCCTTGAAGTCGCTGTCAGTGGCTAGCCTGAAATTGCATTCTGGGCCGATGTGAGGGGGTCTGAGATTTAACGCTGTGTATATACAGATATACATGTATGCATCCATCCATGTTGCTATGATGAGCCTTGTCTAAAGATGCGCGCTCACTTTGTACCTTGACGTTTGGCTCAAGCTGAAGCAAAAGACAGGCGCGTGCTGCAGGCTGTGGTCCACTCAGTCAAAACTTTCGTGTGTAATGTGGCGGGTCGCTGGTGAGTGGCGCGATTGGTGGTGTCAATCGCGCTTGGCGTCGCGGGGCCAGCTGTGATGCACGGGATGTTTGTTGGTCTATAATATAGGTTTTGTCGGGGTCTCTACATCATACTATGACCTTCTGAAAATTCCGCCCCCGCCTTGTCCTGGCTCTTTACTTGCAAGCAAGAGATCAACTTGGGAAACATGAGATCAATATAGATCAACCATTGGCTTCCTTCAACAACCGCCGAATCACAATATGCGCAGTACAGTATGTCATGTTTCTTTGAGTTGGAAATCCTGTGGCAGGTGGATCTTGCTGGATCACCAGGGTATGGGGCATTCATTCGACATTTTCACACAGGGGGCGAATCCAGGGCTTTACAAAATGCTGAAGCTTCCTGGTCGGGTGACCTCTATCGTTCCGAGTGCCGTGAACGAAGCAGTTCCATGCTTTCTATTCTTCGAGCCTTTGCGGCTGTGGCCGGTCCTATTTGAGTTTCAAAACTCTTTGGCGCGATCAATTGCTTCGTGCTTTTCATATTGCGCTACATCTTGGTTTCAGCTGATCTTAAAGGCTCATTTGCGTGCCCGAGAACGGCTGCCACTGTGGTTACTGCGGTCCTTCACTTGGGTTTTTGGATGGCTGGGCAATTTGTACCTGTTGCCAAGCCGCGGCCATAGAACAATGTGCACAACCCAAACAGAAATCCAAGTCACAGCTGAGCCATGACATTGTTTTCAGGTGAAGAGATCAGAGCGACGAGGCGCAGCTGCTTGTTACATCATGGATTCGCAACGCAGGGCGCACATCTTCCATGCACTGAGGATGTAAGCCAAACATGACATACCCCTTTTGTTACTTCGACAGATCCCGTGTACCCAAAAGTCACAGCAAATCACTTGGCGCGGTTTTTTCAGCAAATGCTGGCAGATCGTTCTCCTTGCAAAAAACAGTTTAAGCACAACGCCAGAATGAAGATGACAAATGCGAGGTGACGCACGTTCGAAATGTGACTGCAACACTGAAAACCCAAATTTCCAGTTCATCTTTAACAATGTTCAATCTTTCGGTGTGCATCTGACAGAACTCTCTCGTGTAACCTTTCGAAGCCACTCCCCTTGGCCACGAAGAGACCGACATTGCTGCCGCAGAGGAGAGTATCAATAGGATTTAATAGGCAAAAGATTGAAACCAACCAATGACACATGCATCGTATTAAACACTGATCATTCATTGCAACTGCCTTCCTATCAACTCATTATTCCATTGTGTGACACCTTCCACCTGCGTTAAACAGTTCCTTTGATTGAAACCCTCACTATGAGTGATACTTTGCAACTGCTTCGTGTCGTGAATGATGTTTATTGATACTTTAGTTTGCTTCAATCTTGGTCGTGGAGGTTTACGCTCGATGTGGGTGATGCGCTGGTGGTGCGACAGGATGAACTTCACGTTTCAGACCAGGCCTCTCTGCAGAAACTGGAACAGTCGTTGCTATACAATTGCGATGATTGCGATAGAAATTCTTGTGAGGAACATTCCAAATGCATCGATAAATACTTTGAAGTTACCTTGTCGGCCCTTAGCATGTAGCGTTGACTCTGTCACGGTGAGACCGTGCTTTTCAGTTACCCTCCCAACCTTTGGTCGGTACCGCAACCTTACCGCTTCACACTGAATTTTCCCATTAAACCACGCGAGATCCTCACTGCTCCGCTGAAGGAAAAGACCCTGCAGCGTTCCATGTTTGTTTGGCCTTTGTATGGCGGATGAGGACACCACACCTGCAATGTTTGTGCGTCACGCAGGCAGGTCGCGCAGGATTTTCCTGAACGAAAGCTCAGGCGTTTCACTGTTGCGTGCACCAATCAATACCAAAGAGGGAACGCGAGAGAACAGGACATAACAATCGAAGAAACGGCTCTTCTGTCCCCCAAAATTTATATGAGAGGCTTCTAGGACTACGTACAAAGAGCTTCAAATAGAACAGTCCACAAAGAGGCGCCACACTAAGCCAAGTTCTTAGAAGCATTGAGAAAGTTGAGCCGTCAACACTTGGCTTCAACGCGTGATCCACCTAGTCGGGAAATCAGGTCGATTTAAGACGTCTAAAGTGCTTGCGGGGGGGAAGCATCAGTTGTCTTGGAAATTGCCCGTGGCGTGCTTGATTAAGAGAACTAAAATTTGATTTTCAGCTACGAAGTTGTCCATCTATCCACATTCTTATGTTGATTCGATCCACACCATAGTGTTCTTCCCTGGGCCCACAACTCGCATTTGTTTTCCCGAATGCGTAGCGAATTTAACTCTGGGGGTCTGGGGGTAGAGCCTTGTTCGCGAATCCTTGTCGTAGTGACCGCAACCGTTCGCAGTGTTGCGCTATGGCGCTTACATTGGGCGAAGCTTTTGGAGAGGGCTTTCAATGGAAGCATGACGTGTCAGATTCGGGTGAAATAGCGAAGAAACGTGTGAAAACGTGAGGGGATGAAGTGTCGAGGATGATTTCACTGCGCAGGTGCAGCGTTTTGTGAGATTCCCACAAGAGTGTCCTACAAGAGTGTCCCACAACAGTGTCCTACAAGACTGTTCCGCAAGAGTGCCCCACAGGAGTGTCCCACAAAGAGTGTCCTACAAGAGCGCTCCGCAAGAGTGAGTGTCCTACAAGAGAGTGTTCCGCAAGAGTGTCCTACAAGGGTGTCCCACAACAGTGCCCCCCAAGAATGTCCGACAAGGTGTCCCAGAAGATGTCCGACAAGAGTGTCACACAAGAGTGTCCGTCAAGAGTGGCCGATGAGAGTGTCCTACAAGAATGTCCCACAAGAGTGCCCTGCAAGAGTCTCCCACGACCACGAGAGTGTCCGGTCCTACAAGAGTATCTCACAAGAGTGTCATACAAGAGAGCCCCCACAAGAGTGTCCCACAAGAGTGGCCCTCAGAAGCGGCAACTTGTATCTCAGATGTCTTGTGGGAAGCAGCTCCTGGGAGCTGTGGCCTCAAGACAGGCCACGTGGTAGTACAAATGTAGTGCAGAAAGCAGCTTCTGCTTGAGTGTCACGCAAGAGTGTCCTGCAAGAGTGTCAAAAAATGTTTGGCAGTTGGTTTCGAGTACGCGTTTTTTTGCATTCGAGTTCGTGAGTTCCATCTTGTTTCTTTCAAACGCCAAGGTGGCAAGAGCGCTCTCTTGGAACGCCGTCCGCAAATCAATGAGTTTGAGGTCCAAGACCTTGCGCATTACTGTCAAGACACCCCGCAAGGAGGAACACGGTGGCCGACGGAATGTCAAGTGATCATACACGGTTCTCATCAAAGCTTCGTTTTTTGCGCAAAGGCATGCCCATTCTTTGCAGTGGAACGAAATGCGAAGTACAATTGAAGCAGAGCCACTTGCATGCGCGAACAGGAAGAAAAACTAAATGCCAGAGCTTGAAGCCAAAGGCCAGATCCGCATCCGGAGACTCGTATCCGGGAGACTGGTGGCCCGAGATCAGGATTGCTGACCGTTGGATTATCAATGGCCAAGTTGCCATCAGAGTCCACCGACGCGACACCGGGTACAGGATCCGCCCAAGGTATGAGTATGGAACCACTAACGGCCGAGAGACCTTGTTAGACAATGAATCGCAGGAATGGGCGCGCCCCGCTTTTCTGAAGGTGCAAGGGCCTTTCGCAGCAACGGTTTCCTTGGCCAGAAAACGTGGAAGGGTTCATAGCGTCTGCTGCGCAGCGGTTTGCCGGACCTCAAGACGAACATCTTAGTTGCCCGAACCCAGGAGACGCGCAACGGTATGTTGGAAGCACCTAAGAAACGGTGGGAGAATAGCAAGGCTTTCAATGTGACGATTCTCGGTGCTCCCCCCCAAAATAGTATTCAGGAGGGACACCGAGTGGTAGCCAGTAAATGGGCAGATGTAATCACGGGACTTTCGGCTGTATCCAGGGCCTTTGAGCTTTCGGAGCGAATCCTGCCAATCCTGCCTGTCAAAAAGCCCGAAGGGGCCGTCTACTCGGACCAATTTGCGTCACCAGCCAGAACCGAAGGGGCCGAAGGGGCTTATTGATCTGATGTTTGACGAACTCAATACTGAGTCCGCGCACTTGCGCATAGCTATTGTAGTATTTTTGTTTGTCAAGGGGAATGGACTGGAACAGATTTGGACAGTCTCAGGAGCCCTTGCAAGCTGACCAACATCGGTTGGCTGTGGGCTTCAAGTTCATGCGGCAAGCCCCAGCACCTCGACTTAAGGTCAGGACCTTTGCATAAACCCCCGGCCCTGCATTTTTTTGTGCGGGATGTCAAGTGTCGTTTTTGGATTTGCGTTTGCTTGATTCTTTTATAGTAATACATGAGCAAAAAGTTGAGCCTGGTCAGACTAAAAGAGACCTTCGCACATCAGAGGATGAAGGTTCTCCAAGAAAGCGCACGCAGAACAGGACAGTTTGAGAGCCAACCGTTTAGCTAACAGACAGCAACCATGGCCTCAATATGCCTCAAGACTCCCAAATGTCCAAACCCCTATCCCACAACAGCCTTCCCAAAAGTTTGTTCGTAAGACTGAACCCGCACACACAGGGTTGGAGGAATGTGCGCAGAAGCGGTGTGGAGGGTATAGCCGCCAGAAGGCCTCAACTTCACCAAACTCAGTTCAAACATGTGGTGCGTTTGGGGTGCCTTGTGTATTTTCTCTTAGTCCGTTTTAAGGCGAAGATCCACAAAATGTTGGCAAGCAACGCAACAGTTCGCATGCTTCGAGGTGCGACAGTACATCTTTACCGGCCCAGCCTCTAAGGCACGTCCGTTGTCCACTTGACGGTTGGACGATGGGCGATTCCTTTTTTCCCGAATGCGTAGCGAAGGGTTCCCGTTTATAGTTGAGGCTCTGGGGGTTGGAGCTGTGTTTGCATGGCTTGCGTCGTGTCGTCGTCTCTCGTCGTTTGTCGTCGTTGTCGCGTCTCAAATTCGAGGCCATTGGCTTTTGCAAGTGACTTTTCATGGATGTGAAACGTGTCAGTTTGCGCCTCTATTCTATTGTGATTTGCATGAAAATGACATGTTGCGCAAGAAACGTGATGAATTTCGCTGCACAGGCGCAGCGTTTTGTGAGATCCGCAGTTTGCTGCGCAGTTCCATTGGGATTAGCGTTTGGAGAGTCCTGTTTTTGGGGTGTTGGATGTGGCCGTGCCATTGGGATTTGCGTTTCAGGGTGTGGCATCGAAGCTCGGTTTTCGTGACAAGTCTCAGCTGAAATGGCGATTTTGGTGGATGGGAGTGTGCTCAGAACGAGTCGAAATCATTCCAAACGTGTGGTGTGGTGAAAATTTTGTTGAAGCTCACATGAGATGATATTGTCACTTTTCGTGGCAGGCGCAGGACTTTGTGCGGGTTTTCAGGCGTGGAAGTGCGATTCTCGTGGTAGGGGAGGGAATCGTGAGGTTGCGAGGTGTGACGGAGGTGACATTTCGTGGCAGGCGCAGTACTTTG